GCTTACAACAAAATGCGATGAAAAAAATGATTTAAATACAATTTAGGGGGTGACCCATTTTAAATTTGGGTTGGGTTGAAGGAAACTGGTCAATGGCATCTTTTTTCACTACTGTGGCAGAGATTTTTTTTCTGAGAGCATGTCTGAGCACTTTTATTTTCATCGCTAAATCAGTTTTTTTTTCTGTTGAAAGAGTTTTTTTTTTCTTACTACTAGTATTGAGCCTGTGGATTGTTGATTGATTTCAGCCCACATCATTTTTTTTTAAATCTCCAGATTTCTAATGGGTTACCATTAGTTGTCGGTCACAATAACAGTGCGGCGGAATCAACCGCATCTAGGCTGAACCTTAATAGTCGAAATAATATTTCTTGCCTGAAACAGCGCATCGGGAAGTGGCCGCGTGCGCGTCGGGTTAAATTCGCGATTGTTATGTAAATATGACGCCGTGGATTATCCAATGATATTGTTAAAAAGTATTGGTCCGTACCAAATGAACGAAAACAGCCGATCAGATTAGTAGGATGCACCCCGAAGATGTGCCATCCGGCGTAGACCAGGGATCAGATCAGAATTGTCAAACTACATCAATACTGGCGAGTATTTTTCCTTTTCATGACTCTTTTAGCGTGTTTCAGTGGCTTAGTCCCTGGGGGCCTCTACCGCACACTGGTCGTTTCACCCCAAAGTTGTCGGAGGTCGCGCCACCGGGCTAGCACTTTCACACACAGTGAGACATACCAGTTTAGTGCTTCAGTGCTTCACCGCGAGTTGGCAGGTCCTGTGTGAGTAGATGATCCGACCGAATTGAATGAATATTCCCTAAATTTCAACAAAATTCCCCTTCAACATACTATGAATGAAAATACTATGAGCGATGTACATTGCTCATGATTTTGCGCGCCAGTTGCAGCGAGCAGGCGACTACATTTAGTTTTCAAACACGTCTGGTTGTGGATGCAACTCAGGAACAGCGTTGAATGCTGGTGCTACACTACGTGTATATATAAATTGTTGAAGAAAAATTTATAATTAATGATTTTTCAAATAACTTTAACGACGAAAGAGCGAGAAAACACCCGTTACTGCGCCCTCTGTCGACAAACGTCCATAATGTGCCGCCAGGTGTTGTTCAGTAAATTCTAAAAGTACCACCCGTCTAGCAATAATAAGGAGTTTTATACGGCAAACCTACATATTATGGCTGCAATAATTAGTCCCGTTCGATATGGGGCTCATAGCGACGTACACAACGCTTGTAAAATACATTGTTTATTTACATGAAATTCGCGAAGGCCACCTCCCCTTTGATATTGTTATTTTTTTAA